CTGCATATTGTAGACGCTGGTCCATCGCAGTTGTATCCATTGCTCTGCTATTGCTCCAGTTGTGATTGCTCCCACTGTCTCAGCAGTCTGTTGTATGCTGGGTCTTGCAGTCCTAGGTGCGCTGTCATCTTGTACTTCCATTCTTCGCAGGTGTTGTATTCTCCTGTGAACCGTGGTGGTGATATCTTGTATTTGTGGATTCCTTCCACCTCCTGTTCCTGTTTCTGTTGCTGTTCTTGTTGCGCCGCCACGTTGCTCACTACTGTGTGCCTGAACCTGTGGGAGTGTGTTGAAGCTCACCCTGGGTTGCGGTCGTGGATCGTGTGCCAGGGACCACTGCTCCGCTACCATGTAAAACTCAATGTGAAAGTGTAACCTATTTGCCTGAAGTGTAAACCTGTATGTGACAGCGCGGCAGTTGCTTTCCACTGTGCGGGCAATGTCTCAATGTGCTGAGGCTCAAGGCCTTGATGTAAAGCGTTGCAGAGAAGGGTGTTCACAAGCCTGTACAATGACAATGTATTCTCACTGCTGAACGTGAAACATCACATGATAGCCGTTTTTGTGTCAAGAAAAAGGACCTGTAGCTGAGCAGGTTATGAGCCCAAGTTCGTGGCGATGCTAACTCGGCCCCGCAATGGCAAAGGCCGAGGAGAAGGTGGCCCGGGAACTCCTGACAGGCAAGGACCGGAGTCGCTGCCGCTGGTGGGCCAGGCGGGAGGCTGGAGCCACGGAGGCGGAGAATCAGGCGCAGGAAGCTGAAGAAACAGGCCGGTCTGGGCCTGTAAATGGATCGCCGGCAGAAGCCCGCGGGTTGGAACTCATCGGCCAGGAGGCGGCGGCGCTGCAGAACACGGATGCGAGCAGAACACCCGGCGGCGAAAAGATCAGAAAGCTCGATGGTGTCGAGGAGGTTGTGGTCTGCATCAGCGCAGAGAAATCCGGGCGCCCCGAGCCCGTGGTTTCCCCGGGCCTTCGGTTCCCTCTAACCGAAGGTTATAAGGCTCGCGCCCCCTGCCGCCGACCCCACTCTAGGTTCACTCTAGCCCCACTCTAGGTTCACTCCACGTTCACTCCGTGTCGAACGGAGGCTGCATTCACTGCTAAGGGCGAAGGATTTGTGAATTTGTTCAGGCGATTTTTGGCGACTTGTTGAGCATATCACCTGCATCGTCCGCATCCATGGCGGACATTGATGCGGAGAAGGCCGGTGATGCGGGGGATGCTGGGGATGTTGTCACCTGAGTCGGGCCAATTTTGCCGAGAACGTGCAAAAACACAGTGTTTTTGAAGGTTTTTGGCGGGTGCAAACGTGGAAAATATGGAAACCTGCTTAGCAGGCAGGCTTCAACGGTCCCGGCCGAAGTCGATTTTTGGTCGGCTTTTCGGTGAACCGCAGAAAAAACACTGTGTTTTCGCTAGTTTTGTATGGATTCAAGGCCGGGCGCTAACGTGGAAAATGTGGAAACCTGCTTAGCAGGCATGGCTCACCTCTCCCCGGCCGAGCCTGTTTTTTGCGAACCAGTAGAAAAACCAAGTGTTTTTGCTGGTTTTGTATGGGTTCCATTTTCGGGGCGCCCGCCTTTCAGGCGTAAGCCCTTAAATCCGTGGGCCGTAGCAGGCGATCAGAGGGGCGGAGAAGGTCAGGATCCTGGGGAACAAATCGCAGCGGGGGAGGGCCGCAGCGCAGGGCCCGGTTCTTTATGGGCCACTCTTCACGCCAGAGCAGCTGGAGTACCTGGAAAGGTGGGATAGGCCGGCGGTAAGAAAGCTGCATCAGAGCCAAGTCTGAGAAAGGCCGGAATTCCTGGAGCTGGACAATGGAGCACTTCGGGCGGGACAGGGTGAAGGCGCTCGCCAAGTGCCACGGCCAGTCGGAGGAAACCTACACGACACCGGACATGGAGTGGAGAAGCGAGGTGGCAAGCAAGATGGTCAAGGTGATGAAGAGAGTAGTCACCGAGGAGAAGACCAGAGCGTCAAGGGAAGCGCCAAGAATGACAAGACCCGCTTAGTAGAAATCGATGTGAAGCGAGGACCTTGGCGTGATATGCTGGAGGACGAGCCTCCTTGACGCACGCAGCGATGAGCGGCCTGATCTTGGGAGTGGTTGGTGGTCCGAACTGCAGGACGAGAAGCGTCTTACGGCACTACCTCTTCTGGCAGGCCGGCCAAGGCCGGTGAGGAGCCCGGCGCGGCCAACATCGAGGTATGAGGCGGAGACGTATGAGCCGGAGTCGGAAGAGACGGAAGCTTCATCAGGAAGAACAGCAACGGCAAGAACGTCTACGTTCGGAACGAGCGCTACTACACGAAGGGGGGGAGCCTTCAGCCAGGGGATCGTCATCGGCAGGATCGAGCGCAAGTCTGCTTGGGGCGGCTCCGAAGAAGGGAGCCTTCAAGGGCCGAAAAGGAAAAGCAAAGCAACGGGAAGAGACGGGGCAAGACGGTGATCCCGACCAGGAGAAAGCGATGGGGGAAGTTTGCCGACGGAACCATCGATCTTTCATACGGGACAGGGGGAGAGGTACCATTTCCGGCTGAATTGCTACGGATTGCAAGAAGGGCGAGGAACGCGGGCACGATTGCCGTGCCCGAGGTGCTGTACCCCTGATGCGCGGAGATCCCGGCATCTATCACCTTGTGAGACGATGCGCTGGCGAAGGGTGCTATAGCCTGATGACCTGCCGGCGCTGTATGTCGGGAAGAACCGTGTGAAGAAGTTGCTGCGGTCAATGACGGCTTGAGCGAGTGAGCCCATGAAAAAACATGTGGCATTTTGAGTTGAACAGGTGCAGCCATACTGGAATGGGTTTGGGAGGAGTGCTGAACGTGAAACATCACATGATAGCCGTGTTTGTGTCAAGAAAAAGGACCTGCAGCTGAGCACTAACAATACAAATACATTTACATTTACATTGACATATACATACATACATACATACACACATACATGTATACCTACCTACATACATACATACATAAATACCTACCTACCTACATACATTACATTACATTACATTACGTTACGTTACATTACATTATATACATTACATTACATTACATTACATTACATCACATGACATGACATGACATGACACACATAAATACATACATACCCACAAACACACACAAACACACACACACATGCATGCACACATACAACATTACATACATACATAACATAACATGACATTACATCACATTGCGCTGCGTTACATTACATTACACACATCTTACATCACATTACATTACATTACAACACATTACAATACAACACATACATTACATACACTACATACATTACATACATTACGTACATACATACATAACATAACATGACATAATAACATAAATACATACATTACATTACATACATACATTACACACATTCATACGTACATACATACATACATACATTACTTACATACGTACATACATTACATTACATTACATTACATTACATTACATTACATTACATTACATTACATTTCATACATGCCTACCATACATACATACATACATACATACATTACATTAAATTACATTACATTACATTACATTACATTACACACATGCATACATACACACACACATACAAATATTACATACTTCCATACATACATACATACATACATACATACCTACATACATACATACATACCTACACATACATACATACATACATACATACAACACACATAACAGTCTTGTCTTGAGCCAAATAAGGGGACCGAGCCTACTGCTGAAAGCACAAACGTGGAATGTGGCAATGCGGTCTGCGCATGGGCCGGAGGCTTATGAGTGGCTTCACGCATGCAACGCACAAATAAATGCAGCGACGGCAAAATGCTCGGATTCAAAAGAATCCGCAAAAGGGATTTAGATATTTAAAGCGCTCCAAACTAATGTCGCACTCCCTTTTCTTTTGGTGTCTCAGCACGGGGGTACGATCCAGGCATGTCCAAATGAAAAAGATGATGCAGAAAGATTTGCAAAACCTGGCTCCGAAAAGCAGCACACGGTTTGCTGCTTGGCTCAGGCATACATGTTTGCAAGTCTGCGACGCTTCGGACACTCTTCCCCCCAGTGTGGATTTGGGTGGAGTGGGCGGGCAAGAAAATCCACACGCTGGAAAATCTTGAAAAACGGCACCCGCCCTCCACACCCTAGGTTGCTGAGCCAACGTGCTTCCGGCTCAAACAATCCACATGAGGGTTTGGTCTGTTTGAAAGAACGGTGTTCAAAAAAAACAATGCAAGTATGACAAGTCACACAATGCAAAGTCATGACACGGTTCCAACGCCATGACCACTTATTGTTTGCCACGCACGAACCTCTGCGTGCGGTACAGAGGATCAGATGTGTTGGTTGACCAAAAAGAGGTCACGCTGCAAATCAAAGGCGCCACAACCTAGACTCGGCCCGCTCCCTCTTTGTGAAACAATTATGATTAGATATGACTAGGGCACCCCAGAGAGGTCGCTGCCCTTTTTGGCCAAAGACAAATCCATCAACAAGTTGAAGTGTATTGTCTTGAGCCAAATAAGGGGACCGAGCCTACTGCTGAAAGCACAAACGTGGAATGTGGCAATGCGGTCTGCGCATGGGCCGGAGGCTTATGAGTGGCTTCACGCATGCAACGCACAAATAAATGCAGCGACGGCAAAATGCTCGGATTCAAAAGAATCCGCAAAAGGGATTTAGATATTTAAAGCGCTCCAAACTAATGTCGCACTCCCTTTTCTTTTGGTGTCTCAGCACGGGGGTACGATCCAGGCATGTCCAAATGAAAAAGATGATGCAGAAAGATTTGCAAAACCTGGCTCCGAAAAGCAGCACACGGTTTGCTGCTTGGCTCAGGCATACATGTTTGCAAGTCTGCGACGCTTCGGACACTCTCCCCCTCCTCCTGAAGCTCTGATTGGGCCCCTTGCAAATGGCAATTGCCAAGGAGCAAGCCTCTCAAGTTGCTGAGGCGAAGGTGAGATCTCAATTGCCTGGGAGGCCCCAAACCTGCTGAGAGAATCGGCCACGATGCCCCGGGATGGAGCATCAGCCGGGTTGGCATCGGACTGGACCCGTTCGACCCACCAGTAGCTGTGGCTATCAAGGTCTTCCTCGTGAAATAAGCTGATCAAGTGAAGCATTGTGACCGACGGACTGCTGGCTTTTATCAGCCCGAAGCGCGCGGCTTCGTTGTCCACGAAAAAGAGGGCGCGTCTGCCAATCAAACGGTCACGGTAGTGGCAGCGGGCCATTAACGCGGTGAAAAGCTCCAACTGACTGATGATTTGGGATCCGACCTCGCCTAACCACTGGCTGATGCATGATTTCGGAACAGTGCACTGGAAAACCTCGCACTCACGCGTTCGAGGGTCGTAGAAGAGCCCGCCCGCTCCTGCTTGTTCATTTTCCCAGGCCGCATCTGAGAACACTAAGCAGGGAGGTTCGGGCGGACTGCAATACACCGATCGAGGCTTGGATTGCTGCAGCAAGGAGGCAAGATAGGAACACAAGTCCGTGACGCCCTTCTGGGTGGACGTGGCCGAAAACTGGAGCATGAATCTGGCTACATGACGCAGCTGCTTACCAAGAAAGAATCCGGTGGCAAAATTCAAGGCACCATGCAAGGAAGCAGCTTCATGTTTGTCAAGAGTCCCTTGATCGCGGATGCGGTCCAAGCTGCTGATGAGCTTCTCAACTCGGCCTGGCTTGTTGCTGATCTTGAACTCTCCACGTCCCAGATTTGCCAAATCAAACTCGGCTCCCAACACTGAAAAAGTCGTTGAGAAAGGAGTGGCCTTAGGCCCAGTTGTGGCGTGTCTCCACCCAAGAAGGTCAAGCAACGCCCCAACTGCCTTGGCTGTTGCCTCACAGACTGGTTGAGATTCCAGCATAGGAAAGTCGTCATAATAAACTGTGGTCATCACGCCCAATTTGACGACAAGCAAGTACCATATGCTTCGCGAGATTCGGTTAAAAGAATATACGGACGCAGACGATCCAAAAGGAGTCGAGTTCGTCGTGAAGAAATTCCAAGCTCCTGTGGTTGGATCCTCCACTGCCAGAACCGTGAAGGGTAGCGATGAAGGATGGACCGGAACCTGCTTATATGCCTTGGATAAATCCACGCCCCTACCTAGCACCTCAGCATTGTGCCAGTCGGGGTGAACACGCCCCTCCAAGATTGTGCCATCCGTGAGCTCGAAGCACACCTGACCAGCGCAGAGACACTCCCCGACTCTACGAACCATTGTTGCCACCACGTCCAAATCCTGCAGGGTCAGGTGAGATTGAACGGTGAAGCAACTGTTGATGCCGCTTTCCTTGAAATCATCTATGGTCCGACACTTGCTCTCCGCACCCTGGAAAACTGCAAAGCGCCGGCTGACAACCCAGTCTTCGCAACCTACGGCTGCTGACACCAGATCCTCAGAATGATAGGGCCCTTGAAGGAATCCCTGCTGCACTTCTTCCATTGTGGCGTCCCACAGAGACTGCTTCTCTGCTGGGTCAGAATTGATGGGCTTTTTGCCCAGCACTGCCTTCCTGCGCCACTTGGCCGACCACCTCAAGGCATCTGCAGTGTCGGTTGCAGGCACGAGCTTGGGAGGATAGATATCAGTGCGTTCGTGGGCGCCAACCAAATTGACTCCCTCAAACATGAAATTGTAAACCCCCGAATCGTCATAACCGGCTTCCTCCAGCAGGGCTTTCCAAAGAAGTAAATTTTTGCCCTTGACCACCTCCTGCATCCTTGGGCCCAAGCTGGCATGTGAGTCCCTCTCATCCTTCTCGAGAGACCTCAAGGTTTCCCTCACGTGCAAGATGTACTTTAGCCGCTCTTTGAGGACCACAAAGTTACTCTTAGTGAGGCGATCAAAGACGGACCTCTTCAAGACATCAGGAATATCCCCATGCGGTCTGTCCATGGGGTGGATCAGATTCTTTGCTTCCTCAAGGAACTCTTCAGGCGTAAAAAATACACCATACTGCTCTGCTGACTCAGCGCCCCCCGTCTCACACCCCCTTTCGTCAGGGGAGCTGAGAAGTTTGAAGGGTCGATCAGGCCGACGGCGGGTGATGTATTTAAATTCGGGCATCAACCGCGGATACTTTCGTGACTGGGATCCGGTTTGCGCCATAGAAAGGGCATGCCAATGAGGTTGCGCTTGGACATCGAAACCCAGCTCCTGGTCACGCTTACGGACGCAATCAGCTACATGAGCGCACAAAGGCTGAGGGTACTCGGCTTCTAAGGCAGTGTGAAACTGCAACCGGCCGTGAGTTTGGCTAGCGCCCCAAGGCGCATGCTCGTGGCTCTGATCGCAGTCACGTTCCAGGGAGTCCAGAACATAGGCAGGACACAGCCAGGAAGTGCGCTTGTCTCTGCGTGATCCCCACATACATGCTGAAAAAGTGATTTTCCTGCAGGTCTGATACCAAGCTTGAAAAGGCTCATCACAGGTGCGCCGGACAAACAGGGCAAGAATGGCCCACAGCCAGCTTCTTTCCGGGTTTTCCACGGAAATGAACACATTGCGAAGAAAAGCCCAACGCAAGATTCGTACTGCCAGCTCATATAACCGATTGGCCGACTCCACCCGCTGCGACTCGGCCTCCGTGAGCTGCGGTTTACCTAGCAAGAAATGATCGTCTCGGAGCGGCCTTGGAGCTGTCACACCCTGTTTCCGAAGGTGTTCCGAAATTGGTCGCTCGCGTGCTCGCGAACATGTACCACAAGGCAAAGCCATATGGATATAACTGAGACAGCCTGAAACGTCATGCAAAAGTTGCCACAAAATTGCTTCGCAATGAGGCAAGGCACTAGAGGTTGATGCTGGTTGTGCGGAGAATCTATGGGGACGCAAAGGTAGCCCAAAGCACGAAAAGCCTTACTAAGGCGACAGCACCCAGCAAAAATCTCCACCATGACTCTGCCAGACTTAGCCAAGGAAGAGGCCGGTGGAGGAATAGGGCCGGATAGTCAGCCGCCACCTTTGGCGCACTCAACTCCGGGGTGAGCGCCCCCGCATCCGCGCTTCCAGCAAATGTGAAACCCTTTCTCGCAACGCTTACCAGGGGCAACCTTGGTGCGCCTACATGCGTTCTTGTTAAAGAGGAAACAAAAAGGCTTGCCGGAGGCTGTGCAAGAAACGCAATCGGGTGGAATATCAAATCGGCTCTCCTTGGACTTGCTTTTTCCGTCTGATTTCCCGGATGCTGGGGAAGAGGACCACTTGCCACTTCCCTTCTGGCGCTTTGCTGATGGCCCTTCTGAGGCCTCGCCACGGGAACTGACACCTGCAGGCAATGGCATAAGGCGCATGATCACCTCTGGCTGATCCATCCAGCGCTGAAACACGCTATCCCCGCTGCCCGCGTTCGGGTTCGCAGTCGGGGAGAGCTTTGCACGTGTCTCCTCGCTGACCTTCGACCACAAAAATCTGTCCGTTTCAAAGGCCTGTTGAAAAGTGACATGCCGATAGCCAGGTGGCGGCTCCCTCTGAATAGCTTCCAAAAGGGTCTGCGTCCATTTCTCCAGAACAAGGTAGGAAAAGGCACCAGACTGATCGTAAGCTATGGATCGTCGCCCCAGGGCCTCTTTGAGGCGCAGGGCATCTGTGACCGGGCAGGATGGTTCGTACGCTTTACGAGAGCTCTTCAAGTTCCCAGATGAGTCCAACACGAAAGTCTGCTCGGTCTTCTGCGCCCCCGCTTCGTGCCGCCTGGAGGAACACTTATTGGGGTGAATGTACTTCACAATCTGATTCTCCATCTGATGAACCGTCTGGTCCACGAGCCAGTGCGAGGGTTCAACCTCATCGGACCACAGGATCCCCGAAAGGCGCTTTTTCTGCTCGTCCAAACGGGCCAAACGTTCAGCTGCTGGAATAGATTTCGCGTCCGACTCAGAGGTCTGTTCGACTTTAGACTTCAGCTCAGCGAGCGCTAAGGCGTGAGCTTCAAACATGAGTCGCCTATAACATGCTGCCACACCGCCAACGGGTCGCTCCCCGAGCTTCTGCTCGAGATAATCGAAGAGCACCTTGTCGTCCGGTTGCTGAGGATTATACGTCGTGCAGAAAGCATACTTTGAAAAAGAATCAATCCCATCAGCCTTGAGCGCATCCAAGTGAGCCTCCGTGAGCCCCAGCTGCAAAGCTCGGGAGCGAAATGCAGCCTCCGAATCTATAATTGCCATGGCGGAATCGAGTGAAGGCAATTCGATCAAACCATGAAACGGTTGGAGTTCGAGATCATCACCCAGTTGCCCCTGACAAGTGTTACAAGTGGCCACACGGAAAACGAACGTGCGAACGTGAACGCCCCATTTTCCCGGCCAGAAGCTCACGTTTCGAGAAAAGGTGATCACTCATGAGTCTCCGACTGAGCTTGAAGCCAGACAGCGGAGACACTACCGGTTGCTGCCGAATGGCTGCATCGGTCAGCAAGTGCCAACGAATCCGCTCGATTGTCATGCTTGGCCCAGAAAAAGGGAAACACCCTCCTAGTCTCAAGCTCAGACTCGAGTGGGGCAAAGTGGTCGAGAGCTCCTTTGTGACCGGAAAATGGGGGTCGGGGGTCGTTATGGGACCCTTCAAAATTCCAAATGTTGAGGGCGTAGCGGAATATATCTTAAAAACTCAGGCTCCGAAATGCAAAAGTGAATGAGGCACTTTCTCGCTTGCCTAGCCTGTCTACTTCATAGACGGCAGAACGGTTGGGAGCCGGTAGTCCCACGGTTCCGTCTTATGCTATCCACATTGCGCGCAAAACTGCAGCATGTGGAAATCTTCAACGACATCCCCAAGGGGAATGAAGTTTCCGCTGATTTTGCGGCCGCACTTAAACAAGTCAGAGTCAGGGCCACGCCTAGTATGGACAATTTCGGAAATGCAATGCATCATGACCAGGGCACCTCCGAAGTCTGGCAGCTGCGGAGTTTCAAGCTGCAATTTCCTGCAAACGCCTGAAAATTGATTTGCAGAAATTTCAACGTCCTCGGGCTTGACGTCGAAGTCTCCCTCGCTTGAAAGATCATCTTCCCCGGTAGGCAGCCGAAACCCTTTCGGGAGTAAAGACGCCAGCCTCTGCACTGCCGGGAGGTCGGGGTTGAATTTCCCCCTCCGAATGTCCATGAGCATCGGCCAGATCTTTGCTTGCAACTCCACGTAGCTGTCCCGTGCGTAAGTGAGACGAGAGCGCTCGTGCGGGTCCACATGGTGACCAAGAACACGCCTTTCAGCTGGGGTGAGGATACCCGCCTTGGCCACCCACGAGAGAAGACAGCTCTTCAAGCTGTGCGTTGATACGCCATCCGTCTGAGCTCGAGTGAACCCCTTCTCCATCAACAACTGTCGAAGCCAACAGCTTGCCTCCGCTGAAGTCATTGGACGCTTCAGCCAGCTGAATGAGGTGTCAGAGAAGGCCGGCAGCACGTGAGACAACTCGTGATGGCCTTGCCATTCTCTCAAATCCATCCAAACCGGAGCCCAGGGTTTCTTTGAAAGCCCACATCCGAGCGCCACAATGGGCAGCAAAGTCCGCTTTTGCTGAACGGTGATGGACGTTTTGTGCTGAGTGGTGGCGCCATGCATCAAAACCAGCCCTTCGTGTTTCTCGAAAGTCAAAGATTCCAAATACATGCAATCGCTGAATCGACTAACCGAGAAGAGAACCAGAATGAAAAACCCGGCAATGATCCTCTCGTGCGTGATTCCACCGTTCAAGACGATGTCCTCCAGCGCCTCCACCATGGACGCGCTAAGAGGGGCTGCTTGCTTAAGGACCCGCTTTTTCAGCGCCATAGCTTTTGCAGCACCAACCACTCGTGCGCTGAGCAGTTCGGCTGGGATGGCAAACTCCAGTTGCGCTGCAGCATGTATGAAGCGCCAGCTCTCCAAGAAAACAGTCGCTTTGGTGGGAGCCGCCTTGCTCTCCCTGAGGTGGCACATATATTTGTAGACCAACAATTCAGTTGCCCTCAAAGGAGACTCAAACCCGTCAGAAAGCGCCCAATTTGCAAATGACCAAATTGCAGCTGAGCGCTTGACCAGCGTGGCCGTGGCTTTGACAGCCATAGCATCCTGAAAAGTGGATCGGATTACCGACTCCTCCACCAGAGAACCACCTAGAGTAAGCAGCTGCTTCCCCAACTTGCTTGATTGCACATCGTACAAAACCAAAGTCCGCATTTTGGTAAGAGCTGCAGTGCGAAGTTCATCATCGGTCTTGTGAATCTTGGAAAGCCATACCCTTCTCCTAGCCAAATGACCCGTGATGGCAGGAAGTGCCCGTGGCTGCTGCGTCTTCGGCAAACTCACCTGACCAAGAACTTCTTGCAGCCCGAGCCTAGATGTGGGATAAGGTCTACAAGGCAAATTCAAGGCCGATCTTGCGGGTCAAGCCGAAAGCCAAATTCCTGGCTTCAATCTCAACAGCACGATTCAGCTGCCGCGACCAAACACTGACTGCATGCCCCGAGGCCAGCGCTGGTTGAGAGGAATAAGATTCACTTGCACGGCGATCAGTCTGGATGCCATGATGTGTCTGTTCACCTCCAACCATGCAAAAACCACTGCTATCGCGTTTCCCGGTCGACGCGGAGATACGTGAACCCGATGAAACCATGTCCGGAATGCAATCAAACTTCTCAGAAGGACATGAGGGCAATGACAAATCATCTGCGTCTTCCCCGCTAGCAAAAGCTGATTCTGGGAGCAAGGGGGCAGACAAACGAGGTTCTTGGTATAGCGAAGAGAGACTAGTCAGCGTGCTGGCGTCTCCAGCGGGTGTCTGATTGCATTGGTCGTCCATCGCATCCGAACCATTCCCCCTCAAAGCATGCGATGTGATGAATGCCACGGGAAAAAGGAAAACATCACCAAGCGCAGATCACGGAAGCGCCGCCAAGAAAATCCACACGCTGGAAAATCTTGAAAAACGGCACCCGCCCTCCACACCCTAGGTTGCTGAGCCAACGTGCTTCCGGCTCAAACAATCCACATGAGGGTTTGGTCTGTTTGAAAGAACGGTGTTCAAAAAAAACAATGCAAGTATGACAAGTCACACAATGCAAAGTCATGACATGGTTCCAACGCCATGACCACTTATTGTTTGCCACGCACGAACCTCTGCGTGCGGTACAGAGGATCAGATGTGTTGGTTGACCAAAAAGAGGTCACGCTGCAAATCAAAGGCGCCACAACCTAGACTCGGCCCGCTCCCTCTTTGTGAAACAATTATGATTAGATATGACTAGGGCACCCCAGAGAGGTCGCTGCCCTTTTTGGCCAAAGACAAATCCATCAACAAGTTGAAGTGTATTGTACAAATCGCCTACATGTGACGACCGAAACATGTCGGTAGCCCATGCCCGCAGTACAAAAGATTACAACCTTGCCGTGTCGTTCACATTACAGGTCCAACACTTCAGGTCAACAGGTTCTACATTCACAACATTGAGTTTAACTACACACACCTGCAGGTTCAGGTACACAGTAGTGAGTAACATGGCGGCGCAACAGCAACAAGAACAGCAGCTGGAAGGAATCCACAGGTACAAGATATCACCACCACGTTTCACAGGAGAATGCAACACCTTCGAAGAACGGAAGTACAAGACGACAGCATACTGGGGATTACAAGACCCAGCATACAACAAATTGACACAGTCCGGGCAATCAACAGGACAAGTTACACACGGCCAACTTGAGAACGCAGCACCTTCACAAGCAGTAGCAGAGCAATGGGTACAACTGAGCAACAATCTACACTACCTCTTGGTGAGCACATGCGATGGGCCAGCGTCTACAATTTGCAGGCATAATATGCAAGGCAACGGATTTGAAACATGGCGGCTGATACATGCAAGATACTCTATACCACTTGGCACACGAAGCATTGTGTACCTAACAAGGTTGCTCAAACCACAACTTGATGAACAGAAGCTCGAGGAGAGCTTCACAACATGGGCAACTCTCGAGACGTGTCACGTTGCGCTCGAGTATCTCCTATGATGTTGGTTGCTTGGGTGCTTTTACTGCTTTTGCTTTTGTGCCTTGTTGTTGTTCCTCATCATCTGACTCAAGTTGTGTTGGGAACTTCTGATGTTTTTCAAAGTTTGTCCAGCCTGTCCAAGGCTTGTCTGATGTCTTTGCTGGCTGTGTTGTCCATTCATCTTCCATCAATCTTGTGTGTTGTCTTCCTCCTCCAACTGGTTGCACCTTGGCCTGTCTCCAAGGTATGAATTGTTTGATGTCTGGCCCGTCGTGTGTCTGCTCTGGTATGTAAAACGATGTTCTACTTCTGAAAGGATGTGGAATTCCTTGTCCAGCTGCACCTTTGGTGGTGCGTGGTGCTGCTGACTCCTGTAGTGTTGGTGGTGTTGTTTTCTCTCTCAACCTCGTTCGTGGGGTGTAATCACTTGTGGTGTGACCCTGTTGCTGTAGTGTTTCTGGCAATGTTGCGCCTTTCTTGATCCTGAATGCTGCTTCTCCTTTCCACATCTGTTGTTGTGCTCTGTTTGGCGCTTCCATCGATACTTGTCCTCAAACGTATTCGTTATACCATCCTTGAATCTGATGGTTGTTTTCCTGTATTCTCAAGTTGCTCTGCTGGGACTTGACACTGTGTTCTTGATGGTGTGAAAAGTGTCTTCCTGTATTGCCTGTGTACTCTGACAAGTTCTCCTTGTGTGTTCAGTAGTCTCCTGCAAACCCTGTGTCTGGAGGACCTTTTGGTGTAAGCATTGTGGTCAGTGCTATCATGCCAATCTGTCCTTGTTCTGTGTTGTGTATCTGTAGCTTTGTTCCTTTTGGCAATGTTGTGATCTCGGCTTGTAGGAAAAACAGGCCATTTCTGTTTTCCAGAGTGCTGTTGAAGCCTTTGATGCGCTGTAGTCTTGGATTCTCACCCAGTGTAAGTTGGAAACCTTGCTCCACCAGCCTTGTAACCAAAAGAATTGGCTGTTTAACATCACAAACGTAAAATGGTATGACAATCTGTTGTCCGCTGTGGTTTGTCATGCGAACCCATCTGTACCCGTGAAGCTTGATGTGCCATGTGCTAGTTGGTGTAGTGGAAATTGTGATGCAAACCATCGTGGGCATACATGTGTAGCCGCGCCGCTGTCAATCATGAGACTGACTCATTTGTTGTCTTCTAGTGGTTGTTGTGTTGCGCCAGTCACGGCGATGGTTA